GGCGATCCTTCCGCCTCAGCCTTCCAAGTAGCCGGAATTACAGGTGCGCACTACCATGCCCGGTTAATTTTTTTATTTATTGTAGACATGAGGTCTCATCCAGTTGCCCAGCGGGTCTCGAGCCTGCGGGCTCAGGCAATCCACTCACCTCAGCCTCCCAATGCGCGGGATTACAGGCTGAGCCACCGAGCCCGGTTTGCTCAAGAGTTTTAAACAGCCATTTATATCACAGATACTCATCTTCTGTTAATGAAATTGTTCCCCTACTGGTATACTCTTAATGGCTATTCTGAATGATATTTAATATGTCACTGAAATATTTTGCATTATTACAAAAACTGCTATCTGTGGCATTTTTATATTAATATTGTTTGTGTTTATGTAGAGATTGGCAAAGCATCATGCTTTAGAAAGTTTATAAATTTTTCTGACATTCTCCTCTTGTTAATTCTAGTCTGAGTGCTACTTTGATAAAATTATCTTGTACTACAAAGTGTATAAAACTCAGTTTCTAAACCTTCTTCCTTCATTAGGCCACTCCATGCCCGAAAGAGCCAAATAAAGAGATGATCAATGATGGAGCTTCCTGGACAATCATTAGCACAGACAAGGCAGAGTATACATTCTATGAGGGAATGGGCCCTGTCCTCGCCCCAGTCACCCCCGTGCCTGTTGTGGAAAGTCTTCAGGTGAGACACTCAGTCCAAGCTGGCCTTGAGTTCTTTGCAACTGTTCTTAGTTATGACTTGGCATAATTTTATTCTGGGAGTTTTTCTTTTCCTCCAAATCTTGTGATTTGGGGATTTTGTTATACATCGTTTATTGATTAAAAAAAATCCAAAAAACAGTAGGAACATGCTTATGTGTGAGAAAATTTAAATCAACTTACATGTTATCTTGAAATGCTTTTAGCTGGCTTTGTAGTCATGCCATTTAAAAGAAACATTTTATTATGCCTTTTTTTTTTAACAAATGAACGTTGAATGAGAATATAATGTGTGTGCTTTAATGAAAAATGAAAAGTTTTCTCAGTGTTGTGATTTTTCTGTGAATTGCAGTTGAATGGCGGTGGGGACGTAGCAATGCTTGAACTTACAGGACAGAATTTCACTCCAAATTTACGAGTTTGGTTTGGGGATGTAGAAGCTGAAACTATGTACAGGTACTTGATACAACTTTTTACATCATCCAAAGGTTGCGAGGGGTGTGGGTACAGGAGATGCCTTCCTGACACTGAGTGTAATGTGTTAAACAACCTTGTTTTAAATCTCATTTCAAAAATGTGCTTTGTTTTTCAAAGTGCTTATGAGTGATTTCTATTTCTTCTTCAGATGTGGAGAGAGTATGCTCTGTGTCGTCCCAGACATTTCTGCATTCCGAGAAGGTTGGCGATGGGTCCGGCAGCCAGTCCAGGTTCCAGTAACTTTGGTCCGAAACGATGGAATCATTTATTCCACCAGCCTTACCTTTACCTACACACCAGAACCAGGGCCGCGGCCACACTGCAGTGCAGCAGGAGCAATCCTCCGAGCCAATTCAAGCCAAGTGCCCCCTAATGAATCGAACACAAACAGCGAGGGAAGTTACACAAACGCCAGCACAAATTCAACCACTGTCACATCATCCACAGCAACAGTGGTGTCCTAACTACCGTCTTTTTGCTAGGACTTAAACTGACTTGAGTGCAGCAGAAAGTTGACAAAAAGAAAAAAAAAGAACAATCTTTTGTGGTTTCTTGGGAAAACTTTTCATACCAGGTGATACTATTCAAAAACCCCATACCTGCAAGTGCTGATTTGAAATGCAGAAGCCACAGTAAAACAAACAAAAAACATCAAAATGTATAAGCAATTGGAAGTCAAGTTTTTCAGCTGTTTTTTGGTTGGTTAGTTGGTTGTTTTCTGTTTGGTTTTGTTTAAATGGGCAAGAAGTAAATAACGTGGCTGGAATAAAAGTTGAGCAAGCTAGAAGACACAAATCTCACGTAGTGTTTATGGACCAAGGGACTTGTCTAAGCTTTAGTAAAAGGTACATCTTCACCAGACCTTTTTTTATATCACGGTATATAGCACACCTTGTTACCAAATAGGTTGTTCTCTTCCCCATCCACCTTTGAGCTTTTGCTCAGAATTACATTCAGCCTGACCATGCTTGTTTAATCTAATTACCATATCCTTCCAGGTTTTTTGGTCTAAGGCTGGACCTTTTTTTAAGCTGAAGTCTTAATGACTTTTCATGAGTCGAAATTGTTTTGATTTCAGCAAGTCAAATCTTGTAAAGGCCTGCATATTTTTTTTAAGATTATATGAAGTCTGTGCAAAAGCTTTAAAAAAAAAATGCCTCTGCCTTGCCTGCAATACATGCAATGTACATTAACTTAGTCTCTATTCTCAGACACTGTTGGTAGTTATTTCTGTGTTTTTCTTTTCTTTTTTTTAAAATGTATTTATAGTGGTTATCCAAGAGGTTCTAACATTTACATGGAATTTAGTGTGGCCATTTCATAATTAATGAGTTAATGGCGCAGAACATGTTGGTGTTTGAAGTGTTTTCTCCCTTTTTCCCAGACGTAAATACATCTGTGTGTTCCAAGGTTTGTTCAGGTTTTCCCCTCTCCTAATCTTGTACATAACTTGTATTATGTGTAAGTTAAACATTTTATTTTGAACTTGGAATGTTCCCAGTGAGTTCATTCAGCAAGGTGTTTTCTGCCTTGTTGGCAAATGACAAAACGTATCGTTGGAAGCATTTGCTACCTGTATGGTAGATAGTACCCTTGCAATGGAATGGGGAAAATCTCAGCAAAAGCATGTTTTATTATTTTTCCTTTTATTGGTAGCCTAGGCCAGAACACCATAGATGCTTTTATTAGATGATCAACTAAAATAGCTGGAAGACATTACTTAAGAAGCAGATAGTTGTAAGATGATAAAAATGCAAATGTAACTTATGTTTTCATTTCTTTCTCTGCCTTTTTTGGTTTTCTCTTCCCCAGTACTGAGTGTCTCCACAAATGTCTTCTACTCAGAAAATGTTTCTTTTCCGAAAGTTGAGATGTGGTTGCATTCAGGGTTGTATGTTGGCCTCGCAGCCTGACCTCACCAGTTTTACCTTTCATTCCTGCACTTTGGTTATGCCTTTGTATGGTTTCTTGGAAATTGCAGCGAACTCATTGGGCTACATTTAGTATAGGAACCACATGTGTAGTGTTACATGATACAGTCTAGTCATACAATCATCCTTCTTCAAGTAAAAACTACCTCTAGATTGTGGTAAGCTTTTACTGTCCCATAGAACAGGAGCCACAGTACCTTAGGAATGCAAAACTGTAACTTCCTACAGTGTTTCCATATAGAACATTGTCTTTCTGGTGTCCTGGGCTGTTATGGAAAAGTTTCCATCAGTAGACTTTAGAAATTATTAGTAGTAGCATTTTTTTCCAGCTTTGCTGTCTTCATCACTCACTCTTTTGCTCAGACTATGCCACTGTAAATATTCTTCCTAACATCTTTAAATCGCCTTTTCCTCAGTTTTCAAGGGGAAAGTCATTTGTAAAGCACGTTAGGTGGTGAAATCAAAGTTCTTGCGGTTTTCTCTCACTGCAAACCTCTTGAATCACCCCCAGGCTGCATTTTACTCTATAGAGCCTTTTTCTTCAACTCTGTTCCAGTTACTCACTTCTCTCTTATAAGCTAATCCTGCCTCACACCTGAAACCTGTTCAGCAATCAAGGGCAGAACTCATTGTGGCCTTATCTTTCTTTGTTGTAACCGTTCCCTGTCTCTTACTTGCAAATTGCTGATTTCTGGGTAGTATTTATTCTCTCTGTTGAGTCATGGCAGGAGTCATTACACAGTGCTTTTGTTCAGAATGTGGAAATGTTTTTAGTGCTGCTTTACTTTTAACGGCCACAAGTTTCCTCCACTTCCTAGGTTTGGTATTTAGTTTAAAAATCATATTAAATTAACTGATAACAAATGAGATGTTTTTGAAGAAGAAACTTCCTTACCCAGCTTTGTAGCTCAAAATAATTTTTCAAGCTTATGACTTTATTAAAATGAACTTTTGCTTTTTAAATGTTTATATCTTATTTTGGTTGTTTCTTTTAATATGGTAATTGAAATATTAGAAATAAACCCTTTTTTTGGCTTTCTTTAAGCCCAAGAATGTACTTAATACAGGCATTTTATTCACTTATCTTATACCATTCTCATACCACAGACTAAAGAGCAAAATGACTTGTCTTTTGTAGTTTATTGTTTCTCAGTTTTTTTTTTTTTGGTCAGCTGCTTAAAATTTTTTTTCATGGACTTGTGAATCGTTTTGAGTATATAATGTATAGGAACCTTGCCCTCCACTTATAGTAATGTCCCTCCCCCAATGATGGCATTATTAGAGATGCTGGTCACTCACCCCTCATAACGACTCTTCTTAAATTGTTTGATTTTTTTAAAAATTCTGTCTTAGAAGTGTTAGGCTCTCATGCTTCTGTGCAGTTTCTAAAAATATGCACAGAAGCTGAGCCTCCAGTGTTTTTATTAGTTCCATTGAATGTATCACATAGATTGGGAAGGTATGCTAAAGGTTTAACATGTAAAATGCCCTCTGTATTTTGAATGATTTTAGAGTTGAACACCAGTATAGTATTTAACCTGCTGCCGACTTTTCTTAATTTGTGGCAACTAAAGGCATCCTCATACGTGAATTATTTAGTGAAATATTTGTCACTCTTACTGCACAGACTTATTTGTAATCATAACTGGTTGGTTTCTGTGTTTTTGTTTTTACTGAGACTGGTACCATCACCATGCTCTTACAGAACATTTCCAATGTTACTCTAACTAGTCATGTTAACCAGAGAATCCATGGGGGGAGGGAGTGGCTTTTTGAAACTAAATGCTGTTCATTTATTAACCAAGTTACTTTTATTTCAAAAGCAGCTGTATTTCTGATGAGTACTGAACAAATGTGTGTAATTTTCTGTGCCAGACTTTTGACTTTGTTTTCAAGCACTGTAATGTGGGATGGATGGTTAGAAACAATAATATATTAGGGTTTCTATTTAACCCTTTCAGGACTGAACTGTATCTCCTTTTGTTAATTTGTGTTGTGATAAATGTTTGCCAGCATTCAGTACTGTGTTGGTCCAGGTGTAGGTTTATATGCTCATTTTTAGCTTATTTCTTGTACCTTGCAGCATGCTCTACGCATTCAGTCCTTAAGGGGTTTATTTTACAAACTGTGCGCCTGTAAGGTTTATTAGCAATAAGATAGAAAATTGAGCAAGTTTATACCATAATTTTGTAGAAAAAAAAGAATCTGCTCAGTTCCATATTTCATCCATGAAAAACTTGCAATACGGGCAGTTTCAAGGAATAAATAAAAAGGAAGTGTAAACCATTGTAAAAGTCTTCTGTTGGATGTGCCTGATGCATGTATTATCGTCTTTGATTTCAGAATACTTCATAAAGATAAAATTAAATTCTGTATTACAGTTTGTGTATGTACAGTCTTACCTTGTCATGTACATCACATCAAAGTGATGGCTGTGCTAATTTAATTTCCTTTTCAATGTTTTTAACATTGTAGTGCTTTAAAGAGAGGTATTTTTTTTCCTCTCCCATGGTTATGGGGAAATGGGCTTTCACTGATGTGGCGTGTCCCCCAATTCAGGGTCATTTAAAGCTGATTGTAACAAAGGCAGAGTATTATTTAGCAGTAGCTTGCTTTTCCAATATAAGGTTGTCATTTGATCTGGTATATGAAAGCACATATAATGGTTTGCGTCCTTCCTTAGGGGTGAACTCCTAAAAGTGGGGACAGTATTCTTGAAACAAATTTAAAGGAGGGAGTTATATAATTTTAAAATCATAGCAAGTTCAGTTCTTACCTGTCCTTCCATGGAATCAATCTAAGTAAAGGTAGGAGGGTTTTGTCAGACATCTTTCTAGAAAAATACTGACTGCTAAGTAAGAAACAAACATTTTAGTTGGGATGTGAATTGTGAAGCCTCTTAAGGTTGGGATTGATAATGGGTCACTTGATTTAGAATTTAGAGTAAGCTTGTGCTCCTTGCTGTAAATAGTACATGCTCACTTCCTAAGCAATCTTAACAAAGATCCATTAAGTAGATTGCCTTTTTTTGTTATTGAACTCCTAATTGGCCACCAGTCATTACGGTGTGGAAGGCAAGTGAATTCAGTTCCAAATCTAGTAAAGTGAATGGTTATAGAAGAGAATCTCCCTCTCAAAAACAAAACAAAAAACTAGAAAGATGCACGAAACCCTAAAAAAAGTTTCATCCTAGAAAACCATTGAAGAAGACAGATGAAGCTGTTGTATATAAAGTGCAGATGAGATCATTCATCTTGATCTAGGGTTGGAGCCTAGATATAGAACCGTGAGCCACGAGCCCTGTCAGGACCTGTAGACGGACAGTTAGCCTGTGGTTCTTTGTGTTCAGAGTAAGGTTGTCCACATACAGGGAGTTTAGCTAAAGCTGTCATGTTCACATATGTAAAATCATGACTAATCTTAGATTATAGAAGATTCAGGTAAGTATTCCTCAATATAGAAGACAGTTTTAACTAGTTTCTTGTAAGAAGCATACTAAATGCAAGTAGGTTATGTTATAACTGTTGGAATTTACAGTGTTTTGCTTTGGGGGGTGGCACTTTAAATTTCGATGTTCTATGCAAATTTTTTAAAAGGTAAGTTTGAGGCTTAGGCATATCAAGTTATTTCTAGCATAATGATTGTGGTCCCTGCCTTTCATCTGCTTCTAGTCTTCTGTCCTGTCATTCAGTGCAAATGGACATATAGGACAGTCCTTTCTTGGTCCTTTACCTGTTTATCGTTTCTACTGGTGCTGGGCAGAGAAGGGGTACTTGTATTGATTTAAATCCCAAACTATCCATCCAGAAACACTCCTGTCTTCATCATAGAAAGGAATAAGGAATGGGACTGGGTCATTCCTGCAGTGGCCCCTTGAGCTGGCTTTGACAGCTTTGCTTTTTTCCTACTATTTTGACTCCCTGCAGGACTGCTCTCTCCTTCGTTCATCTTTACCACACAACTCAACCTTCACAACTAAGTTCTTTTTTTCTTTTTGAGTTGGAGTCTCGCTCTCGTTGCCCAGGCTGGAGTGCAGTGGCATGCTCATGGCCACCCCAGCATTGACCTTCTGGGCTTCGGCGATCCTTCTGCCTTAGCCTTCCAAGTAGCCTGAACGATGGGTGTGCACCACCACGCCTGGTTAGTTTTTGACGTTAGTTAAGACAAGGTTTTACCAAGTTACCCGGGCTGGTCTCGAACCCGCAGGCTCAGGCAATCCACTTGCCTCGGCCTCCCAAAGTGCTGAGATTACAGGCTGAACCACGAAGCCCAGCCACAACTAAGTCTTAATGTGGTGTCCAGATATTTAGACGACATCATGAAAAGTTTTGGAAAAAAATAATTGTGACTTTGGAGACACTCGGACACTCAGTGTAGTTGCTGAAGTTAGCATCCTGGAACTATCCTAAGAGAACAGCTCTGAGTGTTACAAGCTGGGAATATATGAATAGCTGGTAGATTCCAAGGTGCCAATGGTGCCTTGGGGAGAACTTCAGCTAGAAGATTGAGGAATATGTAGCTGTTAGCCCAGAAACTTGAAGATTCAACCCTAACGTTTATCTTCCAATTCCAGAGGTTAGAATTGGTTAAGACACAACTAGAAATTTTTAAATGTCCAGCAACATTCCAGACACCGAGCAAGATTAGGATGTGGCCATTTTCAGAAAATTTCCTCTGAGGGCCTGTATTAGTAAACTCTGGCTGTCATAACAAAATGTCTTTGACTGGACGGCTAAAACAAAGGAAAGTAGTTTTCTCACAGTTGTGGAGGGTGGAGCTTGCCAGCACAGAGAGATTCTGGGAGGGCTCTCGTCCTGCAGGTGGCCACCACCTACTTGCTGTGTCCTCCCATGCCGGGGGAGAGTGATCTGTTTTCTTGTAAGACCACAGTCTTAACCAGTTTAGTGCCCCACCCTCACGACTTCATTTAATCTTAATTCCTGAATACCCTATTTCCAGATACAGTCACGTTTAGCTGTTCCTCAAAAATCTGCATGATGGCATTGGGGTTCCCTACATTTTAAGTCTCAGTTGGGGGTGTGTCAAGAGTCACCTAAGATGGTAAGTGAACTTGAGATGAGGGACAAGAGGAGAGGCAAGACAGGAAGAAGTCACTTTGATGACCACTTACCAGTTGTTTCATGTTTAATCCTCAGTACCATCCTATGAGCTAATATGTCTGTTCTAGAGATGAAGAGACAGGCTTAGGACATTGAGGGAACTTGATGTCCTGAGTAAAATTTAGCAAAGCTGGGTTTCAGATTTGGACCCAGGTCGTCCCCTATCACTGACTATCAAAGGAATTAGGGACTTGGGATTGCTTAGGAGTGGTTTTGTGACAAGTCCTCTCTTAAGGAACTTTTGAGACCAGACACTCGATTTCAACCATCACACTTTACAGCTGAGAAAAATTGAGGCTTAGAAAAACAGAATAACCCAAATGTGAGTATGGATAGAAAATGCTTTGTAAGCTCAAAAGTGTTGGAGCTGGGTGCTGTGTCTCATGGCTATCATCCCAGCACTTTGGGAGGCTGAGGTAGGAGGATTACTTGAGCCCAGAAGTTGGAGACCAGTCTGGACAATATAGCAAGACCCTGCCTCTACAAAAAATTAGTCAGGCATGGTGATACACACCTGTAGTCCCATCTACTTGGGAGGCTGAAGAGGAAGGATCATCTGAGCCCAGGAGGTTGAAGCTGTAGTGAACCATAATCATGTCACTACACTCTAACCTGGGCAACAGAATGAAACCCAGATTCAAAGAAGTATCAGATTGTCAAGTTTCTTATTATTTAAGTGCCCTGACCTCTTTGCTAATGTCCTTACTCCCCCTGGCCAAGTCTTGTACATAAATATGTGCTGAGTTACACAAAGCTAGGGAGAATGATCTGAACATTTCAGAACAATTTTCACCTTCCAACTGAAGGTCAGGGAACTTCTTCTGTAAATAGATTTACTAGCCAATTCTGTGTTGGCTTGAGGAAGACCAGAACTCAGAGAACCAAGTGAGAAATAAGGACAGAAACTTGTACTCAAGTCATAAGCACCATTCTGCCATTGACTTAATCATGGTGGCATATGGGAGAAATGACACAGAGGAGGGGGACACAATAACCTTTAGCTGTGATCCTGGCCTGTCCTTCCATAAGCCCAGCTCTGGCTGTTCTCAGGTTGGAGACTCTGTGATGCTTGGTTCTTCCAGGGTCGATGTGAGCCTAGCCTGATGCTTGTTACAAGAAAACAGTGATATGGTTGTTCTACGTTTAATACTTGAAAAGGTTTTTTAAATGTGCACCTTCAACACATAGCCATTAATGGGAACTTCAAAACCTTTTCCATTTAAGATAGCTCCGTAAGTCTTCCTGTGGGTTAGGAATCATGAGAGTGGTTTCCCCAGGAAGCTGGGGTGTATCTCTTCACTTCTGTCCTTAGACCACCTGCTAAAGATTCCATTTTGCTGGTGAGAACTAGCCACGCGAATGTGGGTCACTTGCCTGTAAAACGGTCAGTCAAAAGGAACTGGGGGTGGGGGGTTGGCTATTTCGTTTCTGTGGTGGGAGGCCAGGATCTACAACCAGTAGGGGAAAAGAATAATTTCCAAAAAGGAAACTCGGGTTGCAAGGACAGGAGACTGGATCAGCCAGTTGCTCTGTAGACGACAAGCCATCGGTTCTGTAATAAATCGCCTTCTGTGTGCTGAGGGATTTACGTGAAATACTTCCCACTCCTCAAATTGCCTGCAGACTGGGCAGCTCTTGAAAAGGATGCCCAGGTCATCTCCAACCTTCTCTATATGCCCCTTGGGGGCGGCTCTGCTGTGTCCTCCCCACTGTCGCACATCAACTCAAGACTGCTCATGAACTTCCTGGCAGACTGTGCTGGTGATGAGGCAGAAAACAAATGGAGATCCCATTTGCCTTGCTTGTGTGAGCCGAGGATCATAGAGAACTGGCTTGCCAGGAGAAGAACAAAGCAGACCCCCAGAGGGAAACAAGAGCGTTCCAGTGCCTGTCCCCTTCAAAGGCGCCACTGTCCGGCCTTGTGGAGGGGCCTCCCACTGGCATTTGGTAAGACTTTTGGGCTTTGCCTTTTTACACGGTATTAATAACTGTTTGCTGAATTAGTTAATTTAGCTCAATGACAGTCAGACACCGTGGATACAGCAATAAAGTCCTGCTCTCCTAGTAAAGAGAGACATGCTTTAATAAGAGGTATTAGTGTGTATTACCCATCAAAGGCTCCAGATGGTGGAATCCACCATCAAAGGACTTCAGCGGCATCTAGGGATCTACACATGGGTGAGCATTATCACGTCCTAGAGGTACTAAGTCTGTCATATTCAACATGAAAATCTGTCGTCTCCA